GGCCCTGGGGCCAAGGACCGGGCGGAGCCTGGCGGTGGCAGGGCTGGAGCAGCCCGGCGGGGCAGAGAGAAGGGCTTCGCTTTCCCAGCCAGGCCCCTGCAGTCGCGCCATCTCCGTTATTTGGCGCTTCCCAGCCTGCTTTTTTGTGCTGGAGCTCCCAATGAAATCACCCCGTTTCTCTCGAGGAGGGATCAGTCCTATTTCCAGACAGACCTCGGGTCCTGGCACTGTGGCCCGGGATGGCTGAAGCGGGCACAGGAGTCGGTGCAGTTTCCCCGGCCCTCATGCTCGCTGCAAGGAGGAAGCGAGGATTCGCTAAAGCCCTTTGGGCAGGCTGAGCTCGCGGACACAGGCCGGCTCACCTCAGTGCCCTGCCAGAGTGGGGAAGGTAGGGAAGGAAGATGCTGCTCTAGGAATGTTTTGCCTGCTCATTAACCTCCTTCTGATGATCCTGGTCCTTGAACCAAAGTTTCTTTTCCAATCTGAACCTACTTTGCTGCAGAGCGCAGAAGGCATGGCAGGGCCTTGGAATTACAGCAACAGAGGGGGAAAAAAAAGTGTTCTTTATGGCAGACCTTCAGGTATTTGAAGACTGTTATCATGTCCCAGCTTTATGTCCTTCTTCACAAGCCGAACATGCTCATTTCCGAGTCTCTCTCTTACCTTCCAAGCCCTTTATCATTTTTTGTCACCCATCTCTTTCCAACTTCTCCGTGTCCTTTTTTACACATTAGACCTCATCTACAGAAAAAGGTGCCACATAATAATGACACAAACTCCTTCTGTGTCTTGCATCCAATGCTTCTGTTGATGCAGCCCAGGGTAGCATTTGTTTTTTTTTGCAGCTACATCACACTGCAGACTCAGTACGAGTCTGACTCAAGATTTTTGGTGGATCACAGTCTCCATAGTGCTGCCTTCCAGCCAGTTGTCACACATTTAATATTTGTGTTTTTGATTACTTCCCCGTCCCCTCACCCCAGAGGTGCAACGCCTTGAATTTGTCAGCACTGAAATTCATCCTATTGGATTTAGCCTATCTTTCTACTTTATCAAGATCCTTCATAATTGTGCTCCTGTCCTCCAGCATGTTTGCAGTCCTTCCCAGTTTTGAGTTATCTGGGAATTTGCTCAGGAAGCATTGTACTGTATTCCAGTATTCAATCATTAATAAACATGTTAACAGTGCCAAGACCAGAATCCCTTTGGGACTCTGCTCAAAACCTTCTGCCATGTCAGCATGGACCCCTTCACTTGTAGCTATTGAGTCAGTTGTCTATACAAGTTTATGTAGTTTCGTCTAGCCCATATTTCTCCAATTTGTTTATGAAAAAGATCATGTGGGACTTTGACAACTCATTGAAGACCATATGCATGGCACTCCCTTTGTCTACCCAGCCACTTATTTTGTTTAAGGAAATCAAATTTGTTTGGCATAATCTGTTCTTGGCAAATCCATGCTGGTTGTTCATGATCAGCCTTTCCTCCCTCAGATGCTTACAAATGGACTTCCTTCTAATACATTCTAGGAACTTGCTGGGTATTGAGGTCAGGCTGATTAGTCTATAAGTTCTCTGGGTTCTCCTTTAAAAAAAAAAAAAGAGAAAAATAAAGAGAGGGAAAAAAAGAAAAAAGAGAAACACCAGTTCTCTGGTATCTTACCTGTCTCCTACAACTTGATAAATGTTATTTGCCAAAAGCTCAGAGATCTCCTCTGCCAGTTTCTTCAGTATCCTGGGATGCAATTCATCAGGCTCTGCTGATTGAATTCACTAAAACTAATCAAAATCCCTGGTTGTCTTGACCCTCAGCTTGTCCACTTCCAAATAGAGAGAGAGAGAGAGAGAGAGAGAGTGTGTGTGTGTGTGTCAAGTCAAAATAGCTACTGAGCAAGCGGCATTGTCTTCTTCACATCTTCCGTTAAGAGTTCCCCCTGCCTAGTTAATAGTGGACCCACAACTTCCTTTTTTCTTTTCTTGCCAACATATTTCTAGAACCTCTTTTTGTCCTTGACTTACCTCACCAGTTACAGTTCATTTTTACCTTTGCTTCTCTGATTTGGTCCCTGCAAGTTCTTGCTATTTCCTAGTATGCTTCCTTGGTAGCCCACCTGCCATTCCATCTCCTGTATGCTTTCATTTTGCTTTTAAGGCATCACAGACGTTTCTTGTGCAAGTCCAGTTGTTTCTTCCTGTTGT